ATTAAAGAAAACAAGTTATGTTTGCGTCTCGGTAACGTAAGACAAAAACCAAAAAGTGCTCTCTAGCTCTACAGCAGAAGCAGAAATAGTGGTCACAGGGTGATGAGTGATCTGTGAGGAAATAATGTGGGCAGAGAAATGCAAGAAGTGTCAAAGTTAAAGCCAGCACACATGTGATCTGATCGTCTATTTGGCTTTGCCAAGTACTTATCAACATTGATTTACCTACCAGCGTGAGAACAGGCATGTTGCATGTTGTTGTTCAAGTAATATTCGAGCTTGTGTAATCAATATTTTCCCCTATACAGGAAATTTCCTAATACAGAAGATGCCATTTAGTTTTAAGGTCATTATCTTTAATAATAATTTGTAGATTTGTAAAGAAGGGTTTCAGGAATCTTTAATGAGGATACTGCACATACATGTATTATCTTGTTAATTTAGTTGTTAAAAGAATGAAAACTGCCTGTTCTCTTCTCACAACCTCACTAAACATGTTCATTTCCTTCCTCCTGCTGGGGGCAGACATTGTTTCTCTACTGTGAGCTGAGTGGTTTCTGTCATATTTCAGATCTGTTACAAACAAAATGACAGAGCGTGCATCAACAGTGGGAGTGCTTATACAGCTACCAGGGCTACCCTTGGAAAAACTCAGAACAAACCTCATCAATATGGTCGTCAAATCTCATCTTTATTGGGGGAAAGAGCTTTACCTCCCTACAATTTTGTGATCAGGACTGTAAGCAGTGAGTGCTTCTCCAATTACATTTACTCCATACTATTGTCATTTGCATTCTCCAGCAATGGCCTCATTATACTTCACCTTGTAGCCAAGGAGAGAATGAATTGATGGACCGGCTTCAAGGGTAAAAACATTACAGACATATTTCACAAGCTTGTCCTTTGAGTCAGCTTTGTCTAAAGGTTAAAACATTCACACACCCACTTAAATCATGGTTTCTGGACAGCATCTAAAATGATTTACTTTCTATTTTATTTATCTGTAGCTTTGCATTACAGGCCTGTCTGTAAGCAAGTCAGGTCCCTAGATATGCACCTGCCACATGATCTGAACTGCAAAACTGAGAAGAAAGTCATTCTAGAAGCACGGCCCTCATCATCTTGAACATCCCCAGGCACTTATTTCAGTGGCCACTGGGTAAAGAGTGCATGTACAGAGTCATGTGTCACATCTTTTAAAAAGCCTTTCAGTTGTTTAAAATCTATTTTGCTTCAATAAGGTTTTAAAATAATTTCCAGAGTTGTACTTCTATCCCTGTCTTTGCTGTTGCAAAATCTTCCATACATTTCCATTCAGCATTCTGAGCGCCACCTCTCTTATGTCATAGCTTTAGAACCACTAAGTGAGGATATTAATATCTAACTGCAAGTGACTTATTTCTCTTACTCGTGAAAATATTAGAATTAGAGGAGATAAAATTCAAATATCTTTGTTAGATCAGTTGTCTTGTTATTCATAGACAAACACATATATACAGGATCCTCAGGTTTTAAAGAGTGATGACAGACATATTTACATAGAAATTTAAATTTTTGATAAATTTGCCCAAGCACTAGAAAAATCCCACCGCTTTCTATATATAACCTCTTTTTACCTACATTATCTTAACCCCCACCATTCTCATATGGTTAAGTTCAGGCTGGATCTTAGCTTTTTTTTTTTTATGTTCTCAGTTTGAAGGTTTCTATTTGGTAAAATCTAATAAGGAAAATGTCCATATAAAAAGGGGGGTAGATGTGAACCTAGCACACTTCGTTCCCACTTTTAATGCCGGTCCCAAACCTTAAAATGCACAAGCAATGCTCCAAAGTATGAAACATTAGTAAGGAGGTCATATGGTATTAAGACGCCTTGCCATACTGTACTTGAATACTACAGGTTGATCAGTCAGTGCAGTTTATAGGTTTACTGACTTAGTTCCCCTTTGAAAAGATTGCTTAAATATAAAGAAAGAACATTATTCAAGTCTTCTTTTTTAACCAAAACCTTTAATCACAGTATAAACAAAAACATATGACAAAAGCTGAGGAGTTAAGAACAAAGAGTTCAGAATGTCCCAGAGGAAAAGCTGTCGTCCAGCAGATGTTCAATCACAGCTCCAAGCGGGAGCCGGCAGCTGCTGCCTCTGGTAGAAGTGGATGCTCCAGGTCTCAGACTTGACTTGGGAGGGTCCTGGGTCTCCAGCTGTGCTCACCCATCCCGTTGTTGTCGGCATGTGACGTCACAGCCATGGCGGAGAGCACGGTTCACTTGGACCTCTGCCTCATCTTTCTCCTTTTGCGCTTCAGCCTGTACAGAAGACGTCACAAAGTTCAGTCACACTTCAGGTGCTATAAAAAAGTAAATATATAAACGGGTGTGAATGCAAAAGGGATAACTCTTACCTGCGCATGCGCTTCTTTCGCCACTACGGAAAAGAGACAATGTTCAATTAGCTATAACACATTCATAGAAATTGGCCAAAATATTTCATAATGGGCTGCAGCTGCCAACATCTGTTTAAGCAGGACTTTAAATTCTGATGGCTATGCTAACCGTCAAACTGCACAAGCTTGCTGACTAGCTAACAAATGTAGCCCCGCTGGGAAGTGTATTTATCCCACACAGAGACACCAAACACCAACCTTAGCTCTCATGTCGACGAGGGGACGCTGCAAACAGAAAGAAAATGTTACGGATACTTTCGATTGATTTCATATTAAGACGATTAACTTGGATTCTTCCACCGACTATTCCCACTCACCGATCGCTACGGAATCGTCTCCACGAAGGACGTCATAACGTTGAGACGTCCGATTTATATGGCCTCCTACGTCATTCTCAATGGACGCCAGCGAGACGTGGGAAATTGAGTTTTCAAGATGGCAACGCTCTTCAAATGATTTTATTATTGGACCATTTATTTTTAAATAATACTTACACACCGCGCATGTGCGAGAGATCGCATCAAATCTTACTTATAATAGACTCACTCCCACCTCTCCACCCGTCCACGATATTCCTACATTTAAACTCTCTGCCACTGAACGTACCTTCCCCCTTTTCTCCTCCGTCTTTCCCAACAGTAGCATATTTTCATCCTACAACCTGCTGCTTTATTGCGCTGGTAGGCATCATTGGAAAACCTTGCCTTGGTTGATCCAGTATGGAGATCTCATTCTTGAGGATTTACAGATTTTTATGTGCAGTCACTGGAAGGTTTGTTCTTTCTCCTGTAGATCGATCAAATGGATCTGTATCTGCTCCTTTGTACATGGAGGAACAGGTGTACTGCCAGATCTCTTCAAAATGACCTCCAGTGGGCTACTTACACCGGTCAAAAGTTTTAGAACACCCCAATCTTTCCATTTTTTAATTGAAAATTATGGAGTTTAATGTCTCATTGCACTCTGAAATGAAAGTATAGCACAAATAAACAACTGGACTGAAAAACGATATCATGGAATAAATTTATAAACCAAAGTGTAATCTAAACTTTTGACTCATCAAAGTAGCCACCTTTGGCAGATATAACAGCTGAAGCTGCCATAAACGTGTTCAGTTCATCCCAAATCAGCTCGATAACATATCACGGAAGCTGTTAACTCTCAGAAACTTGTCCTCTGATTCATTTGTGGTTTTGGGTTTGCCAGACCTCTTCCTCTGTCAGTTTGCCCCAGTTTCTGAGTGACTTTTGATGGTAAAGGAAACTGTACTCATTGACTTTCTTTGCAATTTCTCTGCAGGAAAGACCTACATTTGTAAGTGTCATGATGGTCTGTCTCTCTTCCATTGTTAATTGCCTTTTTCTTGCCAATTCTGTAGCAACACACTAATTTCTGCAGTACAATACTGTTCAACTGATCACGAGGTACCGCAGTGTTTTTCACAGAGTTTTATGCAGACAGAGGGGGTTTGTAAGAAATCCAGAAAATGTGGAACCCCTGCAGGAATTTGTAGCACCAGCCTTCAAGGCTTTATCAAACTCCATTGCTGCAGAACAGCTTTACATTGTTATCCTATTTTGTGTTACCTGAAAAAGGCCTTTTTGTATAATTCTGAATTGTACATTTTCAATTTTGGGTAACATTACCTTTTTTAACCTCTGGCAGTTCACCACTTACCTTTGTACCATTTTAAGCTATCAGTGGACTTGAACGACTTGAATTGCAATAAATAACTGGAGGGTAGTGTGTGTATACTCCATGAAGAGGCATAGGAGTTCTGTGCCCGGACCCCAGCACTATGGAGTCACCAGAACTGCCCGTTCACTTCACATATGAAACACTTGAGCATGTGTGACAGGCATGAAAGAGTCTGCCTGCGACATCATCAAGCATGACCAGTTTGGTAGAGGGTCAGAGGGTGATAGTGTGAAAAGGCATCCTTGGAAGGTTGCACAAACGTCCACATGCTAATCTGTACCAAACTCAGGCTTCTGTTGTTCCAGTCGCAGTAATCCTCCTGGTATAGGGTAAGACCCAGCCTCACAGTTCTTGGATGACGAAGTCACTGGAAGTTCACATATTCAGATCCAAGTCTAGGACATAAGGCCCAGCACACCATCTGCTGTCTCAAGAGGAGCATATCTAGGTGTTAACATAGTGCACACAGGCACATGGGGCCACACACTCCTCAGCATCATTATAGGAGTGACTTTGAATCCAGCCCTCAAAGACGTGGAGATTCTCTCGACAAATTACACAATATGTACCAGTAAAGATATTCAGCTTGTATATTTGATCCATCAAAATTAAATGTGATTAAATTGTTCCCTCAACTTTTTCATGCAGCTACTGTGAACCAAACACAAGATCTCTCAATCATGTGGGCGTAATTTAATCCCGATCCTCCAGCATGGCCAGTGGCTCGCGTCCCAGCTCTCTGGGATCAGAGCCTCAATAAAGAAGATGGAATAATGAGCAGAACTACTCATTAACCTTCTTAAAATGTAAAAACAATATTTTATTCATGAATACACCAAAACAGAACGCACACAAATGATGTCAGGTGGTTTTTTAATGTTTCCAAAAATAGTCTCTAAAAGTGGGATTTGTTTTACAAAAGCATCCATATATTTAACAGGTATGGACTTCTTATGTAAACACAGACTGTCAGACTCAGTGGTGAACCCTTGGCAGGAGTTAAGACCATCCACAACCGAGGAAAAGAAATCAATTTGTTTTTACTGGTTAGATGTGGGAGGTCCTAAATGTTGACTTTAGAAACTGTTAGGAGTAACTTATAGCAGAAGCTTACGAGCGTACAGTGGAGCACAAACCAAGCAAGAGCGGTATAAATGCTGCAATTAAACTGAACGATGGGGGATGATGTGATGAATCGGGACAGACGTCCACATTTATGCCCACGACAAGTTAAACTCATGACAGAGGCGTGGCTTCACTTCAAAGACCTCATATCTTAATGTCACACAATTACACTGACGCAGTGCTGTGCAGTCGCCATCCTTGGCTGCTCGGTCGAACTCTTTTTATTTTCCACATCTTTCACTACAGTTGGAGAATGAATGGAAGGCTCAAGGTCAGTCAAATGGTGGCATTTTCCAGTGAGAATATGCCCTTGACCAAAATATCCTCTCTGGTAGCAGACCACTGTTAAGAGAATAAGGATGTCTCAAAGGCAGTAAAATTTACTAGATATAAGTGTGTGTTTTGTATGAGAGAGTGTGTTCTAGTGGGAGTGACAGATTTAAGGAGCAGCATCATCCCAAACTGACATCAGTTAGACTCAGAGGTATTTGCAGCAGTTTGCCCACAAGTGCCTCACACAGCTGGGACAGAAGGATTCGTGACGTCTGTTCTTTGGATCATGTCTGTCACAATTTATTGGAGCATCGATTTATTCTGCGGCCTCGGTCTCCATCGGCTGTCCTGTTGCATTCTCCACTGTCTTTGAAGCCTTTTTTTAAAAGAAAGGATCGACGTTAGAGCAGAAACTTGTCAACAGCATTAAAGTGAGATACAGAATCACAGCGTCCTGGATCTCACCTTCTTTTTCTTCTTCTTCTGAGTCTTACGGCTGGCTGAGCTTTGAAGTAAAGCCTTTAGTGGGAGAGGGAGGAGTAGACAAATATGACTTTCACAACCCGATGAGCTACAGCATTAAATACATCAACACATAATGGTTTTGCAAGTGCGAAGTCAGCTAACAGGCGAGACACAGCAGTCCCATTAGTCTAATCGTCCTCAGGAGGAGGACTGTGTATTAAAACCATGTATTACCTTCAGCTCTGGGTCCTCCACCTCGTGCTCAGACTTGTAGAGTTCTGGCTCAAAGAGGCTGTTGGTGATCCGCAGAGGTCCGTTGGCCATGAGCAGCACGGTGAACTTAAACTGGGCAACGAACTCGCCTGAACACAGAGGGTTCACAGTTATAGAAGTAGTAGTAGACACCTCCACAGTTCCTGTTTTTCCATCATTGTTTGTCAACAGAGACATCTAGTGGCCAAAGAAGGTTGTTGTTTTTTTCATTTTTGATGTGCGACAGAAGAGTGAAAGGGACGGCTTACAAGATGATAGTGAGACCGATACGGTTTGGAGACGGTGGCACTAACAAAAAGACAGGAGGCTGAACTGGAGGTGGATGCTGAGACTTTCATTGGACGTGATCGAGACGGTCAGGATTAGATGTGATTAGATCAGCTTAGGTCGAGCAATTTGGAGGCAAAGTGAGAGAGGCAAGGCTGACATGGTTGGGACGAGCAGAGGAGCGAAGATCACAGAGAATATTCATAGATGTAGTGAGGGAGGAGGGTTGGCGGGACAGAAGGATGACAGTGACAGGATGAGATGGAGGTGGGAGAACTATTGTGGAGACGGCCAAAATCGGTCAACAAGATCTATGCAGAGAAACTTAAAAGTCATAACAAGGCTTCCTTTACCTAACACACTAAAAGACTGTTAAACTATGGCCTGTTGTCCCTATACTGCAGAGAGTCTATCACTCGGAGCTGACCAGCCAGTATGCAGCCACCTGGACCTCAGTTTCTCCCGCTGCACTCAGACATGTAACGGTGAAGGCCGTGAAGTGGAGGGCCCGACTGCTGCAAGAAGGGCTGCACAGTCAACACTCATGCTCGTCTATGCCTACCTCCAAAGCAAGTCCTTCCACTTTTTGTCTCTCCATTTATGTCTCTTTTTAAAAATGTTATCATTTACTTTAACTGCAACAGCAAGTTTTTATTACGTGTTGGATTAGAGACGTATTGCTAGTGCTAAGTTTGCAAGAAAAAAGTTGCACACCCCTTTGAAATACCAGGAATTCTGACTGGATTATTATGATACTGGGTCAGAATAAGACATGAACCCAATCAGGCTAAACAAATAACAGCTGCATGTTTTCACGTGTCGTCGCCGAACACGTCGACCGACCACTTATAGTGCACGCTCACTCCTAAATACACAGTGGTGCTCACCCTCTTTCTCTTGCAGTACAGTGAAGGGCTGCACCAGCTCATGTTTGGCACACTCCACCACCCCCAACCTGGCCTTTGCTTCATCCTCAAACGCTCTGAAGACAATGGAAAGAAAAATAAGTGGATGAAGGTGCAAACCAATTTCTGTAATAATAAAATGAAAAGGCAGAAATACAAGAAATCTCTAAACTGGGGTTAAAAGATGCTACCTCAGAGTGAAAGGCATGGTATCGAAGCGTCTCTCCATCTCGCTGAAGAATGTCCGAGACGTCTTCATCTTCAAGCCGTACACCTTGTTGGGGTCTCGTTTGTAAACTGTGGTCCTTTGACCTCCATCCTTTGCCTTATTTAAATAAATAAATTAACAAATTCTTCATACTGAGCGGAAAAAACCCCCCAAACTAAACAGTTGACCATACACTTCAATCCTTCTCACCTTTCCCTCTCCGGTGCTGACGAGCACATCCACTGCGTATACTTCATGCACCTCAAACTCGGCCTTCTCGTGGTCCTTTCTGCAAATACCACACAACGAGGTGAGCTACTGGTCAAAGACGACACATCGACCACTATACGCACCAGCTGACAGAACTCACTTTTGCTGGTCCGATGGATTCTGGATGATCGTTTTCTCCCCATCGATTACGTGCTGTTTGAGCTGATGAGAGAGCATGCCTGCGGACATTCAAAAACTAAAATGAGTCAAGTGGCCCAAAATCACATCTAGAAACCGAAACCAGAGTGTTCACAAACACTCACCCTCAATGGGGGAGCACTTGAATGACTTTGCAATCTTGTTCCAGGCTTCCGTGACCTGCGTGTTCTGATGAAAAACAAACAGCGGTGATTATGAGAAGAGGTCTAAACGGCTATCTGGTCACACAGATCTGGTCAGTGGGAGAGCTTTACCTGGTTTCCTGGCTTGACGAGGCGGAGAGCGGCTTCAGCACAGAGGTGAGCTGCCTTAATGACGTCCGCCTTACGTCCTGTCAGTGGGTTGTCCTGCAGAGACACGAGAGGTAAGTTAAAGACCTAAAGACCTATTGGGATTAATGGAGGAAATCAAGCATTTGATTGCTACAGGGCGGGTGTATTCCTCATACCTTGGTCACGCCGACAATGAAGCTGTGAGCCACGTTTGAGATGAAGCCGTCGACGTGCACACCGAGATCACTGCACGCAAACAGGAGGTGGTTAAATTTCGGCTTAGTTTATGTTTTCAGTGCTTTTTTCCCACCTTGCCGTAGGATGGGGAGCATAAAATCAGAAGCTTACATTTTGACAAGATCGCCATCCTTCAGTATGACTTCAGGATCACTCTTCAGAGGGGAGAAATGGCACACGCAGTTGTTAACAGAAACGCATGTAGGAAAAGCGATACCTGGGAAGGAAAGAGAGTGAATGAGGGAGTGCTGAGTCAGATTGGCGAATAATGAAAAGCCCAAAAGAAAGAAAGAGCAAGAGAAAGAAAAAAAATACCTTTCTTCATTTCCTTTTCCCTCTTGAAGATCTTTCCAGTTTCTGCCACAATGAAGGCATCTCCCTTTTCGCACAGGCTGAGCACGGAGACGCCAGTTTTAGCTGCCTCTACTACAGCCTTCAGAGCTTCTGCAGGGCAAGAGATAAGAGAGCCATTAAACTGGTTAATATGGTGTTTAAATAACAGACGGCAGACAAGTGCCTGAAATACTGTTTTCATCATAACTTTAATTGCTGATTAATCGTGGGTCAATCAGCTGTTTAGGCCCACCAAACGTTTAGAATTAGCAGGAGAGACAGTGCTCCTCTTGTCATCAGAGGGCACAGATAAACCCATTTCACATTTGCTGTGAGATTAACGTTTGACAGACTGCCTGACAGCTGCGGGTCTGCCCAAATCTGCGCATTGACGAGAGTGAATTAGGTGTCTTAAATCAAGATCAGCTTATCATACATAAATCATAATAAGGACATGCTGCCACTGATGTAAAGGACCAGCATATCATGTGATCTCGTGCATCATACAGAGAAGGGCTGGGGATGAAAAACACCCAGTCTCTGTATTAAAAAAAGGATCGTGAACAAATGCTTTTTTCTTCTTTTTTTTCCAACATCAGGTATGTTGATAAATGTTAATGTCTGACAGGCAGCCTAGAATTAAAGCACAATTAATAGTGCCACAGAGAAAGTCGGTTTAAACGGTCTCTGCTTACGCCAGTTATTACCTTTAATTACATCGTATTAGTCAATCAGGTCACCAGCAAAGTTAAATTAAACTTAATTTGTACGGATCTGAATTCACTGCACACATGCGTTTAAATGTGAGCTGCCTTATTTTGAACCCTTGCGTGTCATTTGTACTTGCCATTGTTATCTGTTAACGTTAGCAGTTACAGCTAGCTAACGCCTGATAGCCAGCTAGCCCAGCCACATAGCTTCCTAGCTTACCGGTGTGCTGCTGTGACAGCTACATGGCGCTAAACGTGTGCGGATAGCTTTGAAAGGAAATCTAGGCGTAAATGATCATAAAACCCGTATTTTAATTGTTTATTTAAAAAAAGCCCCCGCTTCCTAATGTGATCTTCTTGTTATCGATGCACTGCTGCGGCACATGGCATAGCTGCTGCCTGCATATGACTAGCTGGCACTGCTAGCTAACATCAGGCACGGCTCTGATACTTGTAAGAGATCAAAACGCCTCGTTAGCGATGTATTTACTTACGGTTTGCAATCTCGGCGCCCATCTTGTACTTGGTAACCACCAAGTCATCGGCGATGGTTTGCTCCTGCGTCTCATCATCTCCAGACATGTTGGCAGTGTGTCCGCGAACTCGAGAGTAACTTTTTCCCCCGCGGGTCTCAGTCAGGCTCAGGACGGACCACGCTGCTCTGCACACCGGCCCGCCCGACTCCGGCCGACAGCGCACGATCAGCAGATCCCGCCTGCTGCCAAAGACACACTCTGCAGTCAAGATAGTTCACTTCCAGCTCGGTGCATTGGCCGATGGTTGGCGGTTTTGCCAAATTTACTAGCTTGTTCGTTAGCTTTACGTTTAACTTTTTTGGGGGGTTTTTTGTTCATATTTTATTCGTTTTTTTAAACATAATATTTGTTCACTTTTACTTTACTGCACCCTAATAACATTGTAATAACATGATAATTAGCTCATAAGAGGGATTTAAATTGGGAGATATAACTACTCTGATATATACAGGTTTAATTGGTACATGCACAATACTTTATATTTTTTTCACATTTTGCTAAGAAAGTGGGAAATGCCGGACTAGAGCAGCGCAGATACTGAAGGACCCGTCCCATCCTGGCAACAAACCGTTCCAACTTCTGCAATCTGGTAGAAGGTTCCGCATCATCCGGGCAAGGACAGAGAGACTCAAGAGGAGCTTCTATCCCCAAGCCATCCGTGCCCTAAACACACACACCGGCTCTCTCACATCATCTATAATTGACTGAGACAGGACTCTCTTCCAGACACTAAACCAAGGAACAATGTACATTTCAAATTCCTTTAATTTTAAATATGTTTATATTGTCTATTCTGTCAAATAGTCAGATGTCTATTCTTATTAATATAGAGAATAATATACAGAACTTTCAGCGCTTGAAAGTAAACATTTGGTATGACCACTGTTATTCTTCAACACAGCTTGAACTCTCTTCATATAATTTCTTTAAATAGTCTTCAGAAATAATTTTTCAGGGTTCTTGAAGGATATTCAAAGCTCTTCTTTGGATGTTGGCTGCCTTTATTCTCTATCTATCTATCTATCTATCTATCTATCTATCTATCTATCTATCTATCTATCTATCTATCTATCTATCTATCTATCTATCTATCTATACACACGAATACACATTAAGAAAAAAGTTTATCTGAGGAATAAAGTTAAGATTTACTTTTTTATTTCAAGAAAAGCAGGCTCTGAAAAATACGGTGGAAATGAAATATGCCCATTAGTTTCACGGTTTCTCTCGCTACTTGAACAAAAGCGGAAAAATGTGACCGTTGACTCTCACTTCCGTCATCTCTGATCTGCATCTGAAATAAAAGTAGCGCGAGCGCGTCACCAGTGCCGTCTCTTGCCTTTTACGTTTTCTGACGTGTCCCCGGTAAATCTATAGAGTACAGTCTCTTTAACTCTGTCATTTTATTGAATGACTGAGCAATAAAATAAATAAAAAAATAAAACAACCACAAAAACAACGTTTTATTGTTTTATTATAAAAATGTCAACATAATGTAAAAAATGCTTCTGTTCACATATAGATGACAAATGGTAGGATAGCTGCAAACTAGTCACTTGAATTTATATAATAATTCATGTTACTATAAGGAGTACCGTAGGGAATCATCTCATGTTACTGCATTCACTGTGATACGAAGGTCACTTAATACATGTTTGAGGACACCCTCCAGTTTGTTGGCTTTGTACCATCTCACAGTTGGTTTTCATGAATTATTATTCACCGAATAAAGAAGTAAGAATCAAAAATATTTTAAATATTCTTCTTCCTCCTGAAAAGAACCCATAAAAAATTGAAAAAAAAAGGTGAACATGAATATGAAACAGCCCACATTTATGACAGCAACTGCAGCAGTTTCTGTGACTCTGTCCCTGGCCGCATTATTAGGTGCGCACAGCATCTGGTTTGAGGAACAGCCTGCTGTGCCAGTAGTCTGGGTTGTCGAATGATGTGTTGCTTGCAGGTTCCCCCACACCAGCGCACACCTTGATGTATTCCCCAATCTCTGTACACCTGCCACTGCCCATCTCCTCACAAATAACCCTCCCCTTTACTGGGAGGTTCTGGTATTCTGTTTCCTTACATCTGCTGGGCACCACCCCAAATCTGTTCATCTCCTCATACTCCTCCACCTTTTCTCCTCCACCTTTCAGCACATCTGGCCTGGGCATGGCCGTACTGCTTGGAGTGGCTTTGTTGTTTGTGTTCTGGGTTTCCTCCTTTTCCTCTTCCTCTTTGTGCTCCTTTTTCAACACCTCCACTGTTTGGTGTATTTCCTGTTCTTCTGCTGCACTCTTTGCAGATGTTTGACTCCCACGTCTCTCTTGTGATGATTCATCTCGTTCTGTAGAGTCAGAGTGCCTGATGTCCATGTATTCATACCTGCCATTCCCTTGGGCTGGCTCTCCTGGGTCATCCACAGCTCTGATATCACTAGTGAAGTCACTAGTGAGCGGCTGTTTCTCTGCAGAGTTTATTCGCTCTTCTGCAGTTCCTTCACAAGCCTCATGAAGTGGATTCCTCCTTACAGCTGAGTCTGGTGGCAGAGTTTCTTCGTGTGCTATGTCCTCTATGGGTAACAGAGCCATGAATGTTGGGGAGGGTAAGGGTGGGGTTTTGCAGCAAATCCCCACAGTGGGGTCGTCTTCCTGTCTTGAAACGCTGCTGGCCAAACGAGGAGGAGTGCTCTCCTCTGTGTTCATGATTTCATATTCCTGGGTGGGATTTATCACCATGAAAAGAGGCCTTGAGTGTCTTTGGCCAGAATGAGAAATTCTGGAGATTTGAACTGCGATAGGGTGCAAAGAAGGAAGAAGATTAGGAAAGACGCTTTGGTTAAATACATGATTTAACTATTTGAACCGAAATGTAACAAAACAACAAGGCACTGTTCCTATTTTACTGCTCATAATTTACCTCTTTCTGGTGTACTAGGTGAGCCAGGTAGGACATAGCCATAGCTGTCCACCTCCTCCTCTTCCTCTGCCGTCCACACCTTGTACGAGGGTGGACTGGAGGCTGTTGAAAGTTTTCTCTGTTGGCTGATCGGTACACGACGATTACTCCTCTCTGAGCCAATCCTGGCCCTGTGAAGACTCGCCGTCCGTAAGCCTTCTTCATGCACCTCTGCCTCTCTGCCACTCCCCCTGACCTCTAACCTCTCAGGCAGAGTCCGGACTGAGCTCAGACGAGACCTGTGAAACCACAGCTGGGACAGAAAAGCAAAGAGGGATGGATAGTTTGTTACTTCCTGAGGAGGGAGAGAGGTACAGTATGAAGGTATGTAGGAGTGCAGGTAGGTAGGTATATCTTGTTGACCTGCTGGCCGTGACACCAGTAACATACTCATTCAAAGTGAAGTTCTTTGGAAATGAAGCTAATCATATCAACTTTGAGCAAATCAGAAATCAGGAATGTGTCTTTGCATTTATTCGTGTGAAAGTTTGTTTTTGTAAAAACCTGGCGGAAGCTGTCTGCTGGGCTCGTGGTCATTGGCAGGTATCCTATATTTCCAGGCTGATATGAGCCACTCTGCAAAAAAAAAAATTGGTGTGCTGATTCTGCAATTATCCTGTAACAACAGTGCAGAAATCCAGGATGTCCTTCTTTACCCTGCATGAATTAATCCGAGAACGAGAAACACTCCACGACGGCGAGTTCTGAAGAGGAGGTGTAGCCAAACCTTCCTCCAGTCCCTCCTCATCTTGGTCTTCTAAACCTGGATCCAGAAGTCCTCGCTCTGACTCCCTTCGATGGGTTGCATCTGGGACAGGTTCTTCTCCTTCCAGCTGCAGGGTAATCAGGAATAACAGGCACTAAGATTAAAGACTATATTTCAGAACTAAAAGTTGTAAAATGAGTAGCCATCATAGTCTCACCTTGATGACAAGGTATCTCGGTGGGTCCCTCGCCATGCGAGTGAAGTCACTGGCCAGTTCTTTGAAGGTGGGCCTTATGTTTTCATCAATCATCCAGCCTAAACATAACAAGAAAAACACCAATTTTTTATCATGTATCAGAATGTATTTGTGAATAATACCTGAATAAATGGTAAATATAGTTCTCTTCTACTTTAATCACTTAACTTGATTACTCAAAACACTTTTTACTACAAGCCAATCACACACATTCATACAAGCACTCTTATTATTTTTTTTATATCTAAGCACCTTGTTTAACCTCCCTGCACACTATTACACTTCAGTTGCATCATGGGAAATTCAGGGTTCACTATCTTGCGCTGGGATACTTCGGCATGGAGACTGAAATAGTCTGCTCTACTTCCTGAGATATATGTGTGCGCGTATGTGAGAGAGAGAGAGAGGCTAATGTTTTGACTAACATTTCACCATGACCATGTACACGTCTATAGTGCAGATGTGGGGCTGTGACAGACGTTCGCCCTTCTCCAGCAGACCCGGCACTTCCTGAGGTGACACGGATGCATATGGCTCCGCCCCAAATGACATCATCTCCCACACTGTCACCCCTGTCCAGGAAAAGAGGACAATTTAAATGCTCCACGCCAAAATTCATAGACAGTGATGTTTCAAGAGGAAGGTTAATTTATTAGTGCATACACCACAAACAGACACACACACACACACACACTGACATCCTCTTACCATAACTCCAGACGTCACTCTGATGAGTATATCTTCGAAACAAGATGCTTTCGAGTGCCATCCATTTTATTGGCGTCTGAATAAACAGAAAAAAATGCAGACACTCAAATTGGTTTGTGTTTGATTGCATTACTGGAAGAGACAATAAAAGCTGTTTAACAATTCAGTGTGTATCGCAAGCTCAATGACTCACAACAACCTTTGTGTCTGTGTAGACGTATTTCTTGTCATCAGGGTAAAGGAGGTCTGCTACGCCGTAGTCGGAGATCTGGACCTGATAGTCATTTTTCAGTAAGATGTTGCGTGCAGCCAGATTCCTGTGGACCATGCAGTGCTCTTCCAGATAGTACATGCCCTGAGAAACAGATGTGTAGTCCTTGTAGTCACAGATTATTAATATATTTGCATGGAAAAGCAAATTTAGAAAAAACTGTCCTCACCTTTGCAATCTGCACACACCAGTTGAGCAGGAGCTGGGGATCCAGGCTGTTCTTCTTTTGCCTGATGTGCTCCAGCAGCGAACCTTGTGAACTGAGCTGGGTCACCAGTTGCAGACTGGCACCTGGGCAGATGCCCAGCAGCCTAACGATGTAAGGGTGGTCCAAGCTGCCCATGGAGAGCATATGCTACACAACAAACAATGCAATGATAATGTGATTACTGGGCATCTTTTGGCATATGATAAAAGACAGGCATTCAATCTTTACATTAACTTCTGTGTGTGACCTTATTTCAGAGGAGACTCACATCAGTAATCTCAGTGAAAGTCTGTCGGCCTGAGCTATCCTGGATTGTCTTAATGGCCACGGGTATTTTTACCGTCTCTCCTTCTGGAGTCCAAAAGCCCTTAAAAACAAATTAAATGTAGAGCTGCACACAAATTTGTGGATAATCAGTGAAAGTCTAACAAATCCAGGCCAATTAGTACCTTGTGCACAGTGCCAAAAACACCCACGCCAAGGGCTTTGACTTTTTTCAGCTCTGAGGGCCTCAGAAGGCGGGCATGAACCTTGGTGCCTTTCTCTCCAGGATCCAGCGGCTCAAAGCTCTGCTACAAACAGACCAGTTATTCCAAGGGGATTTTCATCATCACAGCAAATGCAGTTAAATCAGTCCAGAAGATATAGTTGGGTGTTTTGTAAAGTCTCACCTCTCCGCTCTCCAGGTACCTCCTCATAGCCCTCTTGCGACGGATGGCAAGTCCTCTGTGGTAAAGCATGCCCAGGAAAAATAACACCAGGCAGAAGATTAAGCCAGCTGGGACACCCAAGGCTATGCCTGTGATCTGACCACTGCAGACAGAGAAATAACAGAGTGAGCACATCAGCTAAAAAGAAAAGATTTTATGTCATGATAACCCAGCTTACGTTTGGGGAAACTGAAAATTACCCTTTTAGAAATAAAGTTTTCGAGTTCAAATATTTTTTTTGCTATAACAGTGGAATGATTTGTGATTTAGATTTGCAGTTCACTGCAATACAAATTGCAGTGTACTTATGTTCACCAGCAGGAGGAAACACTAACCTACTAACTGCCAGTCTGGCTGTCTCTAAACAGTCCATTAATCCTGGGCCAATGCATCTGAAAAATGAAAGACAAAGTTTTCTTTATTATGCAGAGATTCAACAACCTAATTGGGACACTTCACTTTGGGGAAACATGTGGGCATATAGACTTTTTTAAGTCCAGTCTCACCCCTGTGTGCAGTTGTGGTGACACGGTTGACAATGACCCTTCCTGTCGGGGTATTTGAAAATGAGTCCCTTCTGTCCATCATTTATCCCAGTGGGACAAGAGGACATGCAGAAAGGACCATCTTGAAAACTGGCACAAGCCACGCAATCATCTGAACCCTACCAATGAGAGAGAGAAAGGAGGATCATAAATAGAGACTATGTGAGATAAACTCTGCTAGAGTGACAATGAACCAGAAATGAACCACAACAGTGATGCCACCAATATACGAGGTATCACAAAGCCCTATAAGAATACAATGTATACGAAAATAAAGAAAAAAAAATACAATAATCACATGTTTGTTTAGAAGTATGCAGAAGAGCATTCCTGAATGCAGCAGAAGACCGCACCAGGTGCCACTCCTGTCAGCTGGGAACAAGAAACTGAGGCTGCAATTGTCATCAAAATTGGACAATAGAAGATTCAAAAGAAGATTGCCTGGTCTAATGAGTGCTGATCTCTGCTACGACATTCGGATTGGTAGGATTAGAATTTGGTATAAACCAACCAACCTGACACTGATAATGTGTAGAGTGGAAGTAGAGAGTCTCTAAGTACCTTTCTTGTTTCATCTTGATTTTAACAAATTTACTGCTTATCTATTTTATGTAAATAATCATAAATATAAACTACTGGGATACAGTGTCACTGGATTATCAAAGCTAGTGATTACCAGTCCAGTGCAGGTGACTTTCCCACTCTGAGTCTTGCATTCTGGGTGACAGGCGGTACACTCGCCATCAGGACCTGCAAATTCCCTTGGTGCCCTGCAGGAATATTATCCAAGAAGCCAAACAAAATATTACATATACGTTCAACATACACACATGAATCACGAGAATGTAAACTCACAACCACTGACCCGTTGTAAAAATTACAGCTGTGCACACATGTGCCGTCTCGACTGTAGTTCCTACAGGAAAGACACTGTTCAGGCCCTGGGCCCCAGCATCCTGCATCTGAACATAGCGGATCACACACGTGGCCTTCTGCAACTACATCACAAAACTGTGTAAGAACAGCACTGATTACTTGCTTACAACATACAACACAATAGTGAATTCTGAGTTTAATATGCTCAAAATATAACATTTAGAATATAGTGAAGGTTATCTGTTAGTCCATCAGCTCACCACACTCTGCCAATGGCTTGTTGTTGCTGAGGTTGTTGCCTCGAACTCGGCGGCCCCTGAACAGCTTCGTCCAGTTTACAGTGTGGTGGTAGCAGAGATTGCTGTTCAGACTGATGTACATGCTGCCGTCACTGATTTCTTTCAGAGAGTGCAGACCCAGTGAGGTAAGAGTGGGGACGCGCATGACCGTCAGAGAAAAATGGCTTTCATTGGAGGGTTGGAGGATGAAGAGGGGAGAAAAGGATGATTCAAATGGAAAAACATCAGATTGTCTGTAACAGATTATGTTGTAGTTCCAAGTAGTTAGGTAATGCATTCAGTCTCACAATGAACCTGTTGAAGGTTTCTTCCCCTTAAAAAGGAGTTTTTCCTTCCCACTGTTGCCAAGTGCTTACTCACAGGGTCCATCTGGTAGCTGAGGCTTTCTTTGTTTGTAGTCTTTACCTTACAATATAAAGTGCCTTGAGGCAATTGGTGTTGTGATCTGGAGCCTTATAAATAAATGAGTAATTCAACAGACAGTCCTATAGATAGATATTAGTCTGAGTAAGAGGAATGCCTGCATGGTTTAAGAGTAATATATTTCCCTTACACACAAACATAGTTAGTCCCTCATTTTGGGTCATACTTAATAAAAAGTCAATTTTATAATTCTTAGTCAAACTCTGTTTTAGAAAGCTAAGATTATCCGGGGCACAACATAACAGGCAACCTGACAAAGAATGAATGACAGCAGAGCACAGAAATACACACGAGGATGATGAGGGAAATGGAAACGCAGGGGAACACAGCTGATACAAATGAGCATGATGCCACAGGTGAAGCAAAACGAAACACTCTGAACATGGAACACAAGACTTTCAAAATAAAACAGGAAACTTGGAGACGTTAACTGGAACACCCAAGCTTGACACCAGACAGCGAGAGAGAGGAAAACATAACCATAGTGGACACGAGAAAGAGGAAACTAGACACCACTGGCTGCAGAAACAAACATGGATACACATGACAGACAGGGGAGACATGAAGCAGAACATGGGGAGGACACGTAAACAGGTGAGGGACACATGCACATTAACACAGACACACAGAGAGGGACACAGAGGAGAGAGACACAAGGAGAGTATACATGACAAATGGGGGAGATGACGGGAGACAAAGACATCAATGAAACATATAAAGGGTGAGGGAGACTTAAACACAGGGGACTGGACAGACTCACACACTGAAGACAGGACACCAAAACCAACATAGTGGGGAAGACACAGACATGGAAAGAACCTAGACAGAGGAGAGCTAAAAAGGGAATTAGAACTCAATATCAACAGAACTGACTAAAGCTTAAATTTTACAAACAGGAACATCATAACACAAAAGGGCATGAAACTCAAAATGCTCGGTCAAATGACCCAGCCCATAACGCCAAATCACACATTTGAATCCATCAGCTGTTGTGATAAAAGCATCCTGCTCTGGCCTCTCACTGACACGTGCACGGTATAATCTGCAGTCTAGTCTTACTTGTAGAGCGTCCTCCCTTGAATGGTAGTGAGGCTCGAAAAAACAGACAGGTCATTCAGCTCTTTGGGCCAGGACTGGACGTTTAAAAAGTCTGAGAATAAAACACAGTGATTATATTAAGGACGATAGAAAATGACACTGTGCATAACACATCGCAGATAATTTGGATATTTGTTTTCCCCCAAAGGAGAGCATATATCATTTGATGGATACAACCTTTGTGTGCGTTATCAAGGGATAGAAGACAGCCTCATATGTGACAAGAAAAGCAAGCAGTTTAATGTTAATTGTGACTGTCACCTCACAGAAGTTTAAATGGATAGTTTACCCCAAATCAAACATGATTATGCTTTGATAATCGAGAGAAAGGAGACATCTTTGCAACCAGTATTTCCAAAGGCAGCTCACACCAAACATGGATGAATAGCACTACAGGTCCAGGCAGGAAACATGCATACTTGATTGTGAAATTTAATATAAAAAGCAGTCAACTGTTACACACGTAAGCACACCTGTTATTTCCCTGACTGTGCGGAACACTTCCAGCTTTTTGGCATCCAGTGGTGGGATGTTTCTAAAATCATCTCTGTGAAGATAAAAGACAGCAAAAATACTATAAACATACCAAGTGTACGGCACCATACCCTGAGACGCTTTACTCATACATACTGACAGTTACCCCATAATCCCCGTGACCAGGAAGTGAAGGCTGCCCTGAATCTTGGTGCAGTTGATGAAGCTGTTGATGTTGCTCGAGTCCACAGTCTGCCTGTCTTCAGCACCAGTGCCTTCACACACTAAAGGGATGACCAGAAACAATCACATCTGACTACTGAGATATAATCTTGGTGGAAGAAGTGAAAAATCGCATTTGCATTCATTTCAACCTTTTGGGCAAAGTCCGCTGCAGAGCTCACACTTCCTCTGGCCTTCTTTCTCCACCTCCATCTTGTCTGACGGACAGGCGCTCACGCAGGAGCTACCATCCACCACAAAATGAGCTGTGAGGAGGAGGAAGAAAAGAAAAACACAGGGAATATGTTTTATTATACACATGCAGAGGAGCAAATAAAATAAAACGATTCACGATACGACTCTTAAGTCGATTCTTAAAGCCTGCAACCAGCTTTTACCAGCTTTGCTCTATTCTCGATGTCTCCTATCCACCCTGGACTCCTCCCTGACAATATGGGACACACATGAACACACCAGATCCAACACAACACCAGAAAACTTCTGTTTCCTGGTTAGAGTTGCTGTACCTGTCCCATGTTGTGTTTAGTTTTTGGCTTTGTTACATTTTCTGTCTTACAGTTTAACATGGGGACTAGCATTATGTTAGATCTGATACTATATATCAGTGCTGACTGCAGCTTCATGAACAGGCTCAGTGTGTAGTATATGAAAAGGTCGCCAAACTCCCGGGGAGCTGAAAGTTTTCCACTTGTGAATAATCTTTCTCGTCGTAGAATGATTGACTTGTTTGGAAGTGGCCTTACAAGTGGCCTAGTTTTCATAAATGTGGTCATGCTTGCTAATGACTAATTAATGGCAGCGAATTAATTAATCCTTCCTTAATCTTTTTTCTCTTTATCCTTTTGGAAACAGAAAGAGTGCACTTTATTTTTCACATGCTGCTTGTGCATTTTGGCACAGTGTAATATGTCATGTGTTGTTGCTAATGTGAGGTTGTTGTTAGCCTGTCATGGACCAGATGATTTTTATCATTACAACCTGAAGCTTAAAACCTTAGAACTGAAAGAGAAAAAGTAACAAGAAAACTTTTAGACTTGTAAACACATGCAGGCCACTCACTGGGGCACTGAGACACACAGATGGATCCGTATTGGTATTTGGCATTAGGGTTGGTTTCCATTTGAAACGTCTGCTTGTTATAGATCAGAGCCCGGGGACACTGGGGCACACAGGCTCCGGAGTCATTGAAATGACGACATGCCTTTACAGGAACACACACAGAAAGAAGAGAATCAAAATGAAATACTAAAAGGCCAAAGGTGAAGCTGCTGAAGTACATCACAATTCAAAAGACATTCATGGCCCGCAGAGGCTGAATCATACAGATTTTGGTTATAAATTACTTTTCTTCTAATGACACCAAGAGGTCAAGAATTTTGTTTTTGAATACTGTGGATAATTTTTTTATGGCATGCTGTTATATCATGTGCAACTACTTCCAAATGTAACTTGATGTTAAACCTAATTTCATCAAAGTAAGGTTGTGCGAGCCACAAGCATGAATATAAACTCCAGTACAAGAATGTGCTTGCATGAACTATTGTATTTACAAGCTACATCACATGGCAACAATTAAAGGCAGACTGAGCATCCATACCACAGAAGAATAAAGGAAACAAAGGATTAGTTCCCCTTAAACTCTGGAAAACCTGTTCAAGATTTAGAATTGGGCCCAGGAGGTAAGGAAATATTCCCAGCATGAGACACAGGAATTTAGACTTAAATCCTCCATGCAATTAACAAAAAATAAAATAAAAATAAAGCCAATTTCTTGTTTCATCAGCAAACCTCTCCAAAGACAAAAAGATAATTCACTTACAAAACAGTCCACATCTTGGGGGCCTTTACATCCTGCTGCACACTCTATGTGACAGCAGTCCCTCGGGCTTGTGCCAAAGCAGCGGCTGTTACACTGTGGAGCGCACACCGTCTTAGTCACTAAAACACACAGGAGAGACAAGTTCATCAGAAGTCACATAAATGTGTATGCGTGTTGAATCTTTGTGTGCGTGTCTGTCTCCGGGTATTTCTGTGTAGCTTTGAAGAGATATAATGAGGTGAAGTGAAGAGGAGGCAAAGGAAAAACAAAACGTGGGCGCTCACAGATCTGGCATTGCTTTTCGTTTGGTCCCCAGCAATAATCTCCGCAAGATTTATGGCATGGGCCTAAAAAAGAGAGACATAGAAAGATAAGTGCTTCTTATAAAAAGAGATGATTTAGAGATGAATTGGAATACGTATAGCAGACCAGTAGTGACCTTTCTTTCCATTGTATTTGATATCAATAGGAGCGCTGCTGTCCCGGACAATATCCTGCCAGAAGATCCAGGGACCATAACTCAGGTATTTGTTATTGATAATCTGCACCCCTCCCTCCAGAATCTCTGTGAAAACATTAGTGAAACATAACGCAAGCTAGACAGAGAAAACGGTTCAGCAGATATATCAGGATCAGAGGCGAATCAAAATATACACTTTAAAAAACAGTATGAGGATAATTGTTTTCATGAGGTTTTTTAAGCCTCCAAGAAAATACTAAAAAAGTTTGAAAGAATTAGACAATAAAACCAATAAAAGATGCAGAATTTGGAACAAGGTGAAAGGAATGATCTCTTAGGTCATTTCATTTCAGTTTTATTTATGTAGCACCAGTTCCCATGACATTCATGCCTATCTTCTTGAGTGGATGTAAACTTCTGACCACAGCTGTATGTGATGGAAGGGACTTCCAGTAGGACCAGGCTTGACCTGAGATGTTGAGTTAAATTGTTCCATTTTATGTAATGCACCACTCCCCACTGTCACAAACGCCTTGGGTTTCAGAAAGCATTTTCTTTTACAGAACAAACATTGAACGTTTTCTTTCTCTAATATCTGTTTTTCTGTTGTTCGTCTAACCCGTCAGGTTTGCGAGTCCCAGCTGCTGTAGGCCGTTGGAGCCGTCCTTGGGGTAGTTGAGGAAGATCGATAGAGCAAAACGTCTTTCATACAGGCTGTTTCCTCTGATGACGCGCAGTTGGCCCAGAGGAATCTCTTGAAAGTGGTTCATAGCAATAAGGACATAGCCAGTCACCTCACGGATTCTCTAGAGTGAAGAAGACCATTAATATAAGAGGCTACTTCTCCAATATGCTCTCCACTTTTTAACGCTTTTTCCAAATGTAACGACTGGAGAGTAAGGAAACATGACATTTACCTTGAGGAAGGAGAAGTCCCAGTTACTCTCAATCTGTGTGATCTCCAGGTTTCCCATTACAATCTCACAGCCATAATACCGGTTTCTAATCAGATTGTACTGGTTCTCCTGAGAGCCTGTGGAACTGAGTCCATTCTGCGTCCCTGGACACACTTCTAACACAGATAGGGAATAAAGATGAAAATGAACGTAAATAACACTGGGAAAGTGAGTACTGTGGGCTGTGTTGTGTCTGTGGTATTTATAGGGTTGGTGACTCTCCCTGATGCTGTGTTCATGCCTGTGCTGGCTACAGATTTTGATGTGAAGCAGAGAGAAACAGGCAGGCTGTTACCCGCTTACATGGAGCAGTCCAGGCCTGGGGCTGATGAAGAGGAGGTCAGGGGGGTCAGAAGAGAGAGTGACTTTTTCTTTTTTAAATTTTCCCTCAGACAAAGTGCTTCATTGTTGTAAAGCTATAAATGTGGACAGTGTGTCTCAGTGAGTGATGAGTGCTGCAGTGACAGACAGTGCTTCTGTGTATGCGTGTGCATGTGCGTCTGCAAGCCGCGCATTGCTGAGATCATACCAAAAGACAATGGGCCGTGTGTGAACGGGACTCTCTGGCAGAGGGAAGGGAAATATCGTGAACGGAAGGTGACATACACACCATCTCTGAGTGCCCAGCAAAAAAACGGAGGAACTGGTCCTTTAATGTGCAAATGTTAGCCACCTGCAGCACTCACTCAACACGAGTCATATCTCTTGTCTTCGTTATGAACACATAACACACAGCTATAGGACCCTGAAGACTGCTGCATAATAACAATGGAAAGTTACATGCTGACAAAGGACTGTTGCCTAATGCACACTTATATTCATACATGGCAATTTTAAGCAAACACTGGCCCTGAAATATTCAGCTAATCTGGGAGGACTCAATAATATTTAACTCATACTTGGGATAACTCAAAAACAGGCATTAGTACTTAAATTATTTGTTAATATTTTGTATTTATATGAAGCATAGCACATTCATAAAAGGGCTCAGTGATCGGAAATTAGTAAGTAAACAAAGGCTCCTGACAGGAAAGAAAAACAGTGTGATTGTCTGGCAGCTATCGCAAAGGGAGATCTGAATGTTGGCAAAGATTGCACATTAATGTCGTTGTAACTGCAGAAAACCACATTAAATTTTATCAGAAAGAATTTACTGACAGCGTGACAATCAGTTAATGGTAAATAGAAGTTCTTAAAGTGAATCTTTGCTGTTCTCTGCAGATTTTTAAAGTGCACTGCAAGGGCCTGGATCATAACAATAAAAAAGCTTTTAAGAAAGAGTGGTCTGCTGTGAACCAAACAAAGAGAGGCTGAGGTTTATCAGTTTATACTAGACATCTTTAAGTACAGTTAATTCTATTCTATTGCTATAATTTGTCTGGTAATTTCGGTATTGTCTAAATTTCACGAGATCCAAACTAAGAAAGGATTTCAGATATAGAATCACGTCCTCACCTTCATGCGTTTGGGATGATGTTCGAAGCCTCCAAGACAAAATCACTCCCAGTAAAATGACTCGCCACTGCTCCATGCTGATGTCCAGCCTGTTCACGGAGATCTCTGCATATCAAAGCGGTTTAGGTAGTCCTCCGAAGAGCCAATATGTATTTCAGGGGGGAAAATCGACTAAAGAATAGACAGTAATGGGGGTATAAAAGTAAAAAAAAGTGTCTATTAAAGGGAAAATCAGATCAAGTCAAAGTGAAGGACAAGTGCAACTCCTTCAAACCACCTAATAAGAGCGCAAACATCCCTCAGACTACTTGCAAAACTGAAAACAGTGAACAAGTTGTAGTTTATTGTGATGAGGGAATTTCCCTCCCAGATGGGGACGTGTGATTGGCCAACATCCCGACCAATCAGCGGTTTGTCCGTCATTTCGAGCTGAAGCCTCGGTTGTTACACTAAAGCAAAGAATTCTGCTAAATTTATGAAGCCCTCGAGAAACGACAGACTCAATAGCACTGACAGAAATCTTTAAACGTTACAAACACCCCCACCTAAAACATTATAATAACAAAAAAGCTGAATGACATACGAGCCAGTGAGACAGACAAGTACAGGTCGTTCAGTGCAGCAAATAGCTGGTTTTGGATGTGAATATTTGCCGTGTGCAGCAGTTTGAACACCAGTTATTTTTGTTTCATGCTGTCAGCAGTGGAAGCAGCGTTTCGGTCCCCCCACCCAGTAGGAGCCCAGCGCTCTGAGTGGCCGCACTGTTTCCCCCGTAAAGAGCAGTATTGTCCCCGCAGCCCTGTCAACTGGTTAATCACCTCTTTGATGCGTGTGGAGCAGCCTGCCACAATGGCCACATTGTCAGACAGTCAAGTGACTTCTGAACCCAAAACAAGAACATGCTTAATTTGAGAAAATGGCCTCGGAGCAGACAAGATTCCTGAACACGGAGCTGCGGGTGAAAACGGGCCACTAATGGATGGAAATCATTAACCGCTTCTGACAGATGTACTGTTAATCTTATTTTTGAATGCGGCAGGGAGGGAGAGCCGAACAATCCGCAGTTTGTTTGCAAGCATCCATGTGCAGGAAATGGGAAGAATGGTGAGATTGAGATGAACTTGGATTTTAATGTTCGTCTCAACAACCTGATGGTAAAAGACGCCAAGAAATAACACCACAGCTCGGTTTATGTGTCCAGTCATTAATGTCTCTGTTGTTCATCTGCCTGGACTCAGGAGTCTCAAATGCCCCACTCCAGCCTCTTTTTCTGCCCAGCAGGAGGAGCCAGAGTCTGACACTTGGGCATCCGAATTCACAGCTGCTACAGGGCCCTGTGATGGATAGACTCGTTTGCACATGGATGGCTATTTTTACACACTGTTTATTGGACATTTGATCCAATCTCTAATTTCTTCTAATAAAATAAGGAGCCTTTAATCCAGTCAGTCACTGAATAATGGAAAACTTTGGGGGGAAAAACACCATTGCCCAAAAACTGTTGGAAGAAATCTTGAAGACTGAGTCAGTTGTTTTGTTTCATAAACAGCAATGTGAAACTTTCCTGTTGCCGAGTAAAACGGTGTAAAGTGTAAGATTGTCACCAGATGCACTTTTTTTTGTGTGTGTTCATTTTTCACATGAGAGTTTCTCTGTTTGCCCCGTCAAGAAAAAATAGCTGCCTATAGTATTTACAGAGCTTGGCACTTTCACAACGCCACCATGGTGTCAGTCTCTGTGTCAGCCCTGGTGGCCCTGTCCCTTCCAAGGGGAACTGTGAGGGGTGCCTGCTGTGGCCTTTTGCAGTTGCCACTCCCTTCAGAGATTGATGAATTGATTGTGGGGCTGCTGCCAGTGTGTCTGTGCCCTGGGCGAAGGTGTCCCGGTTACGAGTGGGAATCCCAGCTATGGCATCCGCCCTGGGGCCACTATTGTAGCGGTCCTGCAGGGGGCCAAGGGGGCTGGTGGCCCCGGGAGCAGCTCCGACTCACATACTGCTGTCACACCCTTGGAGACACAGCAGCACTCTCCCCTACATGGACCTCTGATTGGCTCAGACAAAATGACTCTCTGTGAAGTGCAGCAATTCCACAGGCAAACTACCTGATTGTGCCAAACTTCTCCTGATAATAGCAGTTAATAAAGGACAAAAGAAAGGCTGTGTAGAGCCAGATCCCACAGTTGTGTAATATGTGCTGTTAGTCTGATTTTAGTCTTAGCTGATGACTGGTACGGTAAACAGTTTACTGAGTTAAAACTATTCTCGATCAGCTCCCACTTCATGTAAAAAAAAGAAAAGAGTCTAACTCACATTTAGAGTTTTGACCTTCATTGTTCAGGGTGATACATGCGTCGTCAGGGACGTCAAAGCTGTTTCCCATTAATCTGCTGAAAATGAGGCTCACCTTAAATCAAAGTTCAACATGTGTAGGCATAAGAGGATATTGTGACATCACAACCAGTTTGGAGGCCAGATGTGCAACTTAAAACCTCCGGAGCACACATGAAATCGATTGACTTTCCATTGAACATATATGTGTTGAGGCAACAGTTAGAGTTTTAAAATATTTCACTGTTTATTATGGATTCATCAATGAAGGAGAAGTACGGTTAGGTCAATAATGTGTTGTGCAAAGAGTTCTTGTAGTGTTGCCTCTGTACACCGCCACAGATTTGAAACCCAACAGTCAAGATGTGACTGACGTGCACACACGCCTGCTCCTATAGCGTGGGCTTGATCTGGTTAGATGCTGTGAAGCTGTTTTTCTTAACCATAGAAATAATTCTGCCATCATGCACTCCAGTTGTCCTCTCTGGTTTTTCCGGCCTGTTGGGAGCTGCTGACTTGATCACTGCATTTATACTTCTTAAGAATGTTGTTTCGGCCATTCCTAATTATTTTATTATCGCTTTTATTTATTTGGCTTTTTCAACCTAACGTGGTCTCCCTAACTTGCAATGACATCTCTTAAGAGCCTCGTGTTTTAAAAAATAACAATAAAAACTATAAAATAAAAATTCTAACTTTGAATCGACCTCAGACATTATGTTTAATTTGTCCTTTGAGTTAAAAATGACTGTACAGAAGCAAAACTACAAAAGCAGTGTCTCTGTCAACAAATTGAGGATCAAACTGTTTCAAGAAACCTAGCAGGGCTCTTAAAAGGACACATCACCTCCAAATCAAATACAGGAGTTTGTGTGAGAATTGCCTCGTTCTACCGCATTGCACTCACCACCCACATCAAACGCAGTGTCTTGGTGCTTTGAGCACCAGAAGTATACTCTGTAGCTTCCTTTTATTCAAGCAGACAAAGATCTTCAAAACTGGGCAACTTATCCAAGAACAATGATTGATAAATACGGACTCGCACATTTGATTCTGGGGCGAACTGTCAACTTGAAATAGAGTTTGAGCCACAGACAAGAGAAGATAAAAGCAGCACGCTCGTAATCGTGATACGGTTTTCGAATCATGACCGACATGCGCGACAATAAACAATAGCAAGGAAAAAAATGAGCAAGGCAAAGCAAATGTATACTCTGGTATCTTTATTGATTGATGTAGTGTCAGGAATAATTCAATCATTCAACACTTTTGCACCTGCTTGGGTTTTTCTGTCTTAAATTTCCTCCTCTTCATATCATATTCGGTTTTTTTCTCAGAGCAAATCGCCAGCTGGAATGTCGTGCAGCCTCATTTAATATTTTTCTTTATTTGAAAGTTAAAATCAGAAAATAGTCGCTGAAAGAGGGAGGGATGTTTAGCCACATCAGAACTGCTAGTGCATCGGTGTCACAGATCAAAGGTGAGATACTTGAATGCTGGATATTTCTTACATATAAACCTGTTATCAAAGAGAAATGAAACCACTGGCTAAATAAGGCCACGAAAACAATTTTCACACCAAAGCGAACGGAATATAATGCACGTCACACACGCACACACAAGCTGCTGTCAGTTATCTGCCAACACGCTGACCCCGTTATCTACAGGTGTATCAACAGCGCGTTTGGTTTCACCTCGAAAACCACGGTTCCACTTTCCCGGTTACATCAACATATATACAGTTGCGCCAACATAGAAAAGCATGCTTTTGCATATTAGAAGGTTGTTCGGTAAACTTTACACTAAATCCATAACATTTATTAGTACAGCATTGTTCCAACCAGCAGCAGTGATTAAGACTAACAAATATAGTCTGAGGAAACAGGCTATTATAATTCGCTTTTATTACAGATCTTGTACAGTATTAACATGCCTTACGATGCAGTATTACTATCATCTTCTCTCCTTATTTTATTTTTTTGTGTGTGAAAAAAACTCCCCAAAATAAACCCAAAACAAAAAATGCAACAGTCTGATCTAATTAGCTAATTAAGGAAAAAATAACTCAACAAAATAAAGAAACACTCCATTAAAAAAAACAGACAACACCTTCTATACAATAACAGTGAGTCTAGAGTAATTTTGTGCAACATGAAAAAGTGAGACGCGACTGATGTCATGCCGATTGACGGTGGATAAATCAGCATGAGAAGCGATGCTGCACAAACGGATCGAAAAAACAAAAATAAACATTCAAAACTATGTAAGCTCTCTTAATATTGCCAGTCGCATGCTGTGTTGCATCACTCTCCACAGGGCAGGCCTATAGCAGCATTTTGTTTCTGAGCCACAGAGCTGGTACAGAGTGGCTGTTTGTCATCTGTATCACTTTAGATATCACACCTCGCTGATGCCAGACAAACTGTTTTAACCCCGTCTGTGCCAGGCAACTCAGCTAGAACAAATCTTTATTTACAGCAGCGGCCTGTTACAAGCCCACGAGCCAGTACTGGGATATCTCCATGCAGATTGGGAAGCAGTAATGTACAATGATACTGGGGTTTCTTTTCTTTTTCTGTTTTTAACTAGCTGCCTTTAGCAGTAAATGCACATTAGAATAAAGAAAAAGAAACTATATGAAGCAAAAAAATCAATAAATATCGATATTAAATATATTGTTTCCGACTGTCCAGAAAGTAGACACGTTTTCTTTAATTCAACATAAATAAAACGAAATCATAGCTAAAAGTTTTGATCTATGAAGAGCATAATTTGGTTGCAGTATGGACAGTTATATTACATTTATCTGTACCAGTATAATAGTAATAGTACTCCCACTATAATATTATGACATTCTTTATAATTTACACCAGGTCTGTAGTTTCTGAGGGAAGGCTGCTCTGCCGTCACGATTTGAGATCCATCACAATTGCTGAGCTAATTAAATGTTGGTGGAGGTCTGCAAAGT